TCATTCGCTGGGGTGTTGTGAGCATAAATAGTTTTTTAACCTATAGTTGCAAATTAAAATTCCAAATTGATGAAAGGAATTAAGAAAAAATCGGTGGTAGTTTGAGATGGTGTCAATTTGGGGAAGACAACTATCTTTTTTCTTCCATTTGTCTACTAGTTATGATCATACGTACCTCCAATTGTCTTAGCACACTTCACAACACAATCCTGTGATTGAAATTGAGAGGATTTTTTATTTTATTTTAAGAGTTTCATTTTCGGTAAAACTATATGTTATAGATGGTTTGAGGTTGAAAAGTTGGACGGGTCGTGGGTCAACCACAGTCCACCCACACCCACCCAAACTTTTGTGAGTGACCTATATTACAACCCACAACCCCCATAGGAACCACCTATATGATAATGGGTGGGTCAATTGTGGATTTGTGGGTTCAACCACCCAATGCTCACCCCTAATATGCGGTAGATGGATTGCCTCTGCTTTTCGGACGACAACAATTTGTTTCAAAACTCAATTTTCAAAGATGTTTACTTCTATCAGTTTTATTCTCGATTATTGATTGGGTTATACTTACTATTATTAACTATTTGAAATCATAATTAAACTAATTTTGGATTAGTTGATGGTTTGAGTTTATAAAATTTAATTGTAATCATAAGGCATATGTTTATATCACAAAATCCATTTTAGATTTGACTCAATATCAGTTCTATCTAGTCATGCATTCTATTTTGGAGCCAGTCGGACCATATTTTAGTTTTTCTGCGCATCTAATCTTTTATTCGTTTCTGACAAGGGACTCGGTGTACGACGTCGTACCATCTGATTCCGAACTTGTAAATGTTGCCGAGAAGTGTGGGATGGATTTCCGAATCGGATATGGAATCACGGCGAATCAATTCCTCTGAACGTGGGCTTCTCCTTCTCCGATTAGAAATCGGCCACAAAACCGATCCTTATAAAATCGAATCCACCCGCTAACACAATCACATTCCCTTGTTTCCATAGTTTTGGGCGGAAAAGATGCAGATCTTCGTCAAGACGCTCGCCGGGAAGACAATAACTCTGGAAGTGGAGAGCAGCGACACCATCGACAGCGTGAAATCCAAAATTCAAGCCAAAGAACACATTCCGGGCCTTTCCCCTGACCAGCAGCGCCTGATTTACGCCGGGAAGGAGCTGGGAGACGGGAGGACTCTGGCCGATTACAACATCCAGAAGGAGTCGACGCTTCACCTGGTTCTGAGGCTCAGCGGCGGCGGCGCCGGCCGAATTAATGGGTTTCCGGGGAGTGCTTAAAATCTTCTAATTGTTATGGAGATTGATAGATGGAGTTTAGAAGGACTGGTTTAGAATTAGATCAACTTCTGTGTGGAATTTTGTTGGTTCTTTTGCTATTAGATAAACATTAGACGCCATGTAATTAATGACTTAGTAAAGAGATATTAGGATTAATCAATTAATTAACTTTCTTTTTTTATTCATAAATCACAATCAAATTAGTAGTCACTCTCAAAGGATTGGATTTGATTTGAGCTCGCCATTTGGGGAGAAGGGCAACCTCGTTTCTTCTCTTTTGGCTTGTTGATCAATTAATAAAATACAATTAACAAAAAATAATAATAATTAGCACTTCATTTTGGTGAGTTCCTCATAACTATTGCGTAATAATGACGTTGTTGGATCATTCTTGTTTGTCAGTGAAACTCCGACCAGAAGAAAACAGAGGTCCCAACTCAGAGTAGAACCCTAAAAAGAGAGAGAGAGGGGGAAATAATCAAAGACAAAGAGAGGCCACTATCAAAGGGGCGGCAGAGAAGAGATATGGTGGGAAGAAGAAGCCATTGCTGGCTGTCCTGCGATTTCCCCTCTTGACCCGGTCTCGTCTCCAGTCGGAAATTTAAGGATGTTTAATGCCAACAGCTGATTCTGGATCTTTAGTATAAGACAGCTCGGAGACGATGTTACCATTTAATCGTATAGTAATCGTGAATTTTTTTACCCACATTACAAATAATTCGTATTAACCACAGCAGAATTTAAGTTGCATTAGAGATTTAAAGTCGCATAGCTATCCACAGCCAAGAACGAAAAATCGAATCCTCTCAAATTAGGATATAACGAAAAGGGGGTTTTTTTCCTGGCCAATAAGATGGGTATCCTATTGCGACTGGAACCAACAAATTTAATACTGAACTGATAAAAAAACATTGGTGTGACTCATGGACAAGTAAGTGTCTCTCGTGAATCAACATTTTGGGTCTCAAGCATACTAGAGATTTTTCCGACGAGAGGGTAAATTGCAAGGTTGGTCACTGAAAGTAATAAAAATTTCACGTTTAGTCACTAAAAGTATTTTATTCTATTCATGGTCACTAAAAGTAGCTCTTCTGTTCAAGTTTGGTCACTCTCCGTTAGTCTCCGTTAAATTTCGCTGATGTGGCAGTCAACTCTGTTAGTTGACCGTTAAAATAGTGACGTGGCAATTAAATATAAAAAAATAAAAATTTACAATTTCTACCTCATTTTCATAACTATTAAAAAAATAAAATAAAATAAAATAACTTAATCCACCATCCCTACCCTCTTCTTCCTCCTCTTCCTCACTACGAGAAGTAATCTCGCTTTTGCACAAAATCACTGAAAGAGTTGGGTTTCTTTCTTGTCCTGTGGGCAGTTGGAGCGCTGCTCTAAGGACGAAATCTATACTTCACCATCTCTAGTTTAAATCTGCTCGGTCTCTGCTTGTTGGACTTCGCTTCCCTAGCCAGTGTTTCAATTTGATGCTCTGTCTCACCTTTTGGGTTGTTGGTTGACAGATCGAGTAGGCGGCAGAACTTGAGGCTTCTTCAAAGAGGCGGATGAGGTCTTGTTTAGCTTGCCAAGCTCTAATGTACTCTCTCGAAATTGGCTCATACACGACAAAAGCTTGGGGATTTTCTTCAATTGCTGGGTTTGAATAAAGGGTTGAGAGATTTTGGCTTAGGAAAATTGGAAGGATGGTTTCGGGGAGGTCAGGGTGGGAAAGGTTAGTTGGTACAAATGAGGGAGGCAGGGAGGAAATGTGGACGAGGGCGTTAGCTAAAGTGGGGGAGCTAGGGATTTTGTGTGGGGTCTGGGAGTAAGGGTGGGAAGAAACACCGGAATCGGAAAAGGGGGGTTGGGCACCAACTCGAAAAGAGGGGGATCAGAAAAGGAGAGGGTGGAGTTTGATCAAGCTAATCGATGAGTACCTCCTCCACCTCCACCCTCTCCTTCGGCCTCACCTTCTTCCTCTCTCACGACAATTAGATCCTCAAAAGTCCCAGCAGGTACCTCGCCTTCGTCAACGCCTCGCCGTCGAGTTCGACACCCAGGTTTACCCCCACTTCGGTAAACTCAATCTCCACTGGTTTCTCCTGGGACAAGGGCGGCGACGGAAGTGAGGAAGAGGAGGCGGAGGTGGTGGAGAAAGGATTTTTTTTATATTTATGAAAATGAGGTGGAATTTTAAAGTTTTTTATATTTTATTTTTAATTGCCACATCACTCATTTAATGGTCAACTATTAGAGTTGACTGCCACATCAGCGAAACTTAACGGAGACTAACGGAGAGTGACCAAACTTGAACAGAAGAGCTACTTTTAGTGACCATGAATAGAATAAAATACTTTTAGTGACCAAACGTGAGTTTTTTAGTACTTCCAGTGACCAACCTTGCAATTTACCCCAAAATGATCGGGTATCAATCACGTACGAATGCATATGAATATCCTCAAATGCATGCGAGCTAATGTTCTTGGTCTAATGATGTGTGATGAAGTAGTTATCTAGACATTTACAAGTACCAATCGATAAATTTTGGAAACTCTATCTTCTCTATGAGTACCCTTTTATCTCGCTGAGAAAATGATAATCAGTTCTCCCTCCATGATTTGTATGTTTTTGTTAGTCCATTCGAAGACGCGGTCTACTAATACTAACTAAATTGAGAATGTATTAAGCAATAAAACTAAGCTACTTTGATAGTTGTCAAGTATTTTTTCTTCTTTGCATTTATCTTCAGTTCCTGTCTAATTCATCCAACAAAATCAAGTGTCTTAGTCAAACATATAAATTTCCAGTGGCGCCCTTAGTAAAAATATTCAATAAAAAATAACAAAACTATTAGTTAGTATTAAAGAAAAATGAAGCGGCCAATTATATTCCCTTGGCTACGTCAGGAAACAAAACAACCATTAAATTAAACTTCCCGCGCCAGCCATTTCGCGCCAATTTTCTTCTTCTTCTCACTCTAATCTCTATTCACCAGAAGAAGCTGGGTCGTGTCAAGTGTCAACACGGAATTTCTCCATTTCGGGCTCAGGATAAAATATCCATTTCGGCCCCAAATTCATAAACTTTTTATTTTGATTCCTCGACCAAGATGGAATAGTGATTTAAGGCTGCTTCACAATTTCTTCATACCTTTTTTGTCATTATGATAACAACTTGAAAACAAAAGCAAACTGCAATTTTCAACAAATAACTTGTAGCACAACGAGAGAAAGCCATGCGTAAGGCGACCTGTAGTCTCCCAAGACCAAGATGGAAAGTTGTTGTTCATCGTTTGATTTTTTTTTATTATGTATCATCATTCAAATTCCTTTGATACAGTGACTCATCGTGTAGCTAATTCCTAACTGTCTCCTCCATCCGTATTCTCCTAACATGCCATAGATAGAACTGTTAATCTTCTAAATAAAGTTTTGACGAAATAAACCCCTAATCATAAAAAGACAACAAAAAAGATGTTGGAGAACTTGTTGAAGTACTGAATGGGCATACACTTAAATTACATGACTCGAATAGTAATAATTTGAAAGTGCCAAGTAGAAGACATCCTTAAAGTTGAGGGGACAATTGTCTATTTGTCTTCTTCTTCACCTCTCTTCCACTCCCACATTTTTTTTTCTCATTTTAACTCATCCTTCGTCCTTAGCAGAAAAACCCCCAAAAGAACCTCCGCCACCTGCAGACTCCAATTCTCCAAACTTCGCCATTTCCAGAGCTCTGTTCTGTTCCCAATTCCCAGAGAAAACCCCATCAAACAAACCATGACCCATTTCCCCCTCGCCCTGCTTCTAACCCTCGCCGCCGCCGCTCTCTTCCAAACCCTCCCGCCGGCCGCCGCTCGTCAGAACTACTCAGGACTCCAATCCCTCAATTGCGACGCCTCCGACGAACTCGCCCCGTCCCCAGAGTTTCTCTACACCTGCAACGGCCTCAACCGTTCCTGCCAATCGTTTCTCATCTTCCGGTCCACTCCCGATTACAGCTCCCCCGCCGAAATCGCGGAGCTGACGTCATCCGACGCCGCGAAAATCGCCCAATTCAACGCCGCAGAGGATCCCTCCTCTGTTTTCGATTTGGGTAAAGACGTAATTGTCCCCGTCGCCTGCTCTTGCTCCGGCGACGGCGAGCGGTACTACAGGGCGAACTCGAGCTTCACCCTGACGAGATCCATGGGGACGTACTACGTCGTGGCGACGGATCTGTTCGAAGGGCTGGCAACCTGCGCGGCGATTAAGCGCGGGAACCCATTTCCGGACCGCGAATTGAAGCCAGGGATGACAATCCAAGTCCCCCAACGGTGCGCCTGCCCGTCGGCGGATCAGGTCGCCGGCGGGGTGAATTACTTGCTCACATACCCGATCAGCTCCGACGACAGTGTCTCCGATTTGGCCACGAGGTTCAATGTCATGCCGGAGACAATAATGGAAGCAAACGGTCTGACCCTAGACTCGAAATTGAGCCCGGGTACCACAATTCTGATTCCGCTCTTGGGGCTTCCCCTGAGCTCAATGAGTAAAGTACACAGAAGGGCTTCTGAAACTGGAACTCCGTCGGGGCCCGAGGGCCCCGACAGAGCTCCGAAATCGAAGGTGAAAGCACTCGAGCTGGCGGGACTAGCCGCAGCCTGCTTCCTGCTTCTACTCAGCATCGCTGTGGCGGTGGTTTCTGTGATTCAGAGGAAGAGAAGGAAGAAGAGAGACGCCGGCGAGATGAGGAAGGAGAGACTGAAGCAAGATCTCCGAGTCGAGATAGCGAGCTGCGAGCGAGCTCTGAAGGTTTTTGGGATCGACGAGGTTAACAAGGCGACTGGGAATTTCAGCCCTGGAAAGAGAATCAAGGGCTCTGTTTATTCAGGGGAGTTTGGGGAGAAAGTATTGGTGGTGAAGAAGATGAGCAGAGAGATTGATATATCGCAGGAAGTCAACATTCTGATGAAGATTAATCATTTCAATGTGATAAACCTCCATGGAGTTTGCGACGATGGGCAGAGCTTCTATCTGGTTTCTGAGTACATGGAATTTGGATGCCTGAAAGACTGGCTCAAGAGAGGGAGGAAAGGTGGTGGTGGTGGTGGTGGTGGTGGAGAAGAAGGCGGAGTAGGATGGGAGATTAGGGTTCAGATCGGTCTGGATGTTGCCAATGGACTTTACTATCTCCATAACTTCACCAAGCCTGCGTATGTTCATCAGGACATTAAGACGAGCAATGTGCTACTCGACAGTAACCTTAGAGCCAAGATCACGAATTTCAGCCTGGCAAGGTCTGCGGCTAGGGACACTAATGTCACGGTGCACTTGGTCGGGACGAGAGGGTACATGGCGCCGGAGTACGTGGAGACCGGGGAGATCACCCCGAAGATAGATGTCTACGCGTTCGGGGTCGTGTTGCTGGAGTTGATCACGGGGAAGGAAGCTGTTTTGGTTGTAGGGAACGGGAAGGAGACTCTACTTTCGACAACAATGGTTTCGCTGGCGGAGAAAGGAGGACTGGAAGAGGCTCTAGCTTCGTACATTGATCCTAGTATGAGAGAAACTGGAGTGGATGTGGTACTACCTTTGCTGAGGTTGAGCTTGGCTTGTTTGAGACGGGAACCTGAGGCTAGGCCTAGCATGGAAGAGGTGGTCTCGAGTCTAGTGAAGATCTTGACGGATTTGAGGAGAACGAAATCACTGGCCGATGATTCGGTTACTGATCAATCGGTGACCCCTCTTCAACGTGCATCTAGAGTTGAGAATGATTGCAGTGTTGAGACTGCATCATGGTAAATGATCTATTTGATAATAATGTAGATAGAAAGATCAACTAAATTGTGCAAAAGAACTAAAGAAGCTTTATATTTTTGTTGTAACTCAAAATTATATATCCCAAATTATATCCTCTTTGTTACTAAACTTCATCAGTTTGTAATGATTCATTGTGCAAGCAATAACAAGATTCCAGAAGGAAAGAATAAATAGAATTTCATTATTAAAATTTTGCTAATATGCAGAAAAAGCACAGCACTTCCAAATGGGGGGACAATACAACAACAGAAGGGCATGGTGAAAAAAGACTGCACTTCTATGAACCTAAAACTTTCTATTCTACAGAAATCAAATTTCTTTCTATGTGCTATGATGCTCTAGTTCGAATCCAAAATAGTACAAAATGGCTGTGTAAAGGAAGGGGGGAAATGACAGGGGAAATGTTAGAAGAGAGTTCATCAGAAAGGGAACCTCCCAGTCATTTGAATATGTTCAAGAGTTCTTTGAAGCCCGTATTTACGAACGGCCAGCTGACCAGCTCTGAATCCATCTCCATAAACTGGAGAACTGTCTGACTCGATCTGGTGCTTGAAGAACGACCCGAGTTTCTTATCAAACGGAGCCCTTGAATCAGCTCTCGACCCAGTTGATGACGATGATGATTCAAAGTTTAGCTGTGTATCTAACCACATGTGTGCCATGACCTGGCAAATCCCCTCTTCGACGTCTTGACTTAGAGGTTGGTAACCTTGCAGCATAGATAGAATCAACCCATCAGCATCTCCAAGTGAATCACAAACGATTCTTAACGCGCATTTGAATCGAGCATTCGTGTTCTGACATGGATAGGTAAGTACCTTTAAGTCGCATCCATGCATGCATCATCTCATGAGCTAGGATTGATCCAGTAAGCAACCTGTTAGGATTTAGATTTTGGAACGTGCATAAGAACAACATTGCAATAACTAAAACTCCATTGAAAACGGTTCAGGAGAAGTGAAGTTTTTATCCTCAAGATTGACACTTCCTTGAAGGGGTTTTCCTTTCAAGATTCGGTCCAGGAGAACATATGAAACATTCCCTATTGGTCCTTTTCTTCTCAGAAATCAGCTTTCATATAATTCCTTGCAACACGTAATGCGGCAAGCACAACGGTTAATCTGTGTCATTATTTACCGAGGGCGAGGAGGGTGTTACCTAGGGAGACCGTATAGTATGAGAATGGCAGTGACATCACACCGGCGTATCAGTTTGTAAGGCTCCGTTATCATGTCCATGGGCCGCTGTCCTCCCCCAAACCTCGGTGTCCGTAATACCTGGTCATTCATGATTCATTAAATCAACAGCCACACAGTTGGTGAACATTAAACTGACAACAACAACAACAACCAGCAAGAATATAAGAAAAATCTTCCTTACTTGGCTGATAGTTTGTTCCTCAGAAAGGCATAGTCCTCTAGTTTCAGGCATGTGATAATGGCCCTGCCATAAAATGAAGATATCATAACACAGTTTCTACTTTCTACAATGGCGATTCAAGAAGTCTTGAAATATTTACACTTACATTCTTTTCTCCCTCCCTTGCTTCATTTAGCGCTTGTCTCTCTACAAGAAGTAAAGGAACATACTGCTCCACCTTCATATTTAAGCTTTCATAAAATTGCTGTATGTCCATGTAAAGGGGCTGGCATAGACTGGTATCCATGACTGCAGAATCCAGACACTCCAAACAGAGCTTCCGACCATCATTAAGAGGTACATATCCTGTATCTTGAGGCTGCACGTTAATAGGAATCTTCAGATAAGAAACTGAACATAAAGGTAATGAAAGAAAAGAAAACTGTGTTTTCTCCAATTGATTGAGACTAACCTCCATTCTCTCACAGCTGCAGCATCTTGGAGTATTGTCATGTTCATGAGTGGGGCAATATTTCTGGTTCCAAAAAGGATGAGCCCTATATTCAATAAGTCCGGCCAAGTTGGTTGGAATCTGTCAAAGATACTGGGTCAGAAAGAACGGCGAATGCCGAGCAAAAACTTTGTGCAGGCAAGACAGAAATTCATATGCTAATGCCCACTGCAAAATTTTCAAATATAAACATAATAAAAATTTCAGATATACTCACAAAGTGCTTGCAGACATCACATTTGGGATGGTACCGGTCCTTGTAGCAAGTTTTGTGATAGGGATAATTTCCTGACATGGAGAACTGTGGAAAATGACATAAATGGTAAAGTTGGGGAATGTGCAACGACTAAAACAACAATGCTTTGTGGACTGCATCTGAAAAAACTTAGGTACTGAAAGCTCACTTCAATGGGACAAAATTTTGCACCTCATAATCAGCTATAGGTAGGTTGCACGCATGGCAGCGGAAGCATTCTGGATGCCAGTATGCATTGAGGCAATGAAGAAATCTCCCAGCACCGATCTCATTATTACAACCAGCACATATCCTAGTCAGAGCAACAAAGTTATTGAGCAAAGCCAAACGACAGAATCCACTGACTATAGCAAGTAGGCCATACAACCGAGTAATTACCTGAAACCCATTGGGAAATGGACTGGAGCTGGTTGATATATATTTCCTGGATGATATGCATTTGGATTTCGATATTGAGGGGGAGGAGGAGGGGCAGGAGGCGATTCAATATTCAAGCTTTCTTGTAAAGCTCTAGCAAGTTGTTCATCTTCTTGTAACTGACTCTCATCTGCGTAATGAGGTCAGCACTTTAGGGGCGAAAAATTATAGTACTCGCTAGAAAAAGTTGAACAAAGAAGGAGATCATTCCTGACTTAGAGGACTGCACTTATAATGAAAACATAGAAAAAGACAACACATCTTACCAATCACATGTTTTCCGGGTTGACTCTCCTCTAAAAGAGATAGTGCAATAGCACGATCCATTTCTTCGTCTTCCTGCTCCGGCCAGACATCCTACAATCAAATATCAAAATTGGAAAATTGTCAAATGCAAGAGATGAAGTCAGGAGTGATTTGCAGAGCTGTCTGTGCACACATTTCAACATCAGAAGGTAGGACTTGAATCTTGATGCATAATCCACAACAATATAAGAAACTGAAATTCAGACAGTAGAATACAATGACGTATGACGTTGAACAGGAGTCAATTCATACCCCTGAAGCAGATGGTGCATAGACATTAGGCTTCTCTTCATAATTCTCATGATAGTGCCCTTCGGAAATGTTATGATCGGAGCCTTTAAAGATCTTGCTAAGCCAACCCATAATGCGAGTTGCTACCTGCTCATGATCAATGAAGCTTTTACCTGCTCATGACCAAACAGAAAGAATAATTACACACATTGTGGACAACCAACTTATAGAGAAGGAAATTCAAAGCTCCAACTGCAATTCCATTCTATGGCTTTCAAAGCTACAACAAGTAAACAGAAATTATGAACAGAACTTAAGTAAGAAAGCAATCAAACACCACCAACCAGGCATCATTTAGGAGAAGTTGTATTATTCGTCTCTACCCAGCAAAATGTGTCATATAAACATAAACAATCCTCGACCCTCCAGCTAATATAAGGAGGAGCAGAGACAGAGAGAGACACAGAGCAGAAAGATTCTTACAGGTCACCATGTCCTTAACATTCAAGACACCAAACCTCATAGATTTTGAAGGGGCAAAAGTGGGGGAAAAGAAGACTCAACAGAATCAAAACAGCGGAGAAATGACTCACCTCGAACGCGTCAGAAATTCTGAAAGGAAGTAACTGGTGGCAGGAAGACGACGTCAATTCGGTGAGATTGTTAGATCCCAATCAAGTTCTCGCGCAAACCCAGAGAGCAAAAGGGGGAAAAGCTTCAAATTTTGAAGTCTCTTTTGCAGGGAAAGAAAGGAAGATGGCCGCTTTCCGCACTCCCCCCAACCCCTTTACCTTTCTCGGCCTCCTCTTTTTGTGTATAATTTATAATGAAATGAACCAATGAACAATCCAATCCAATCAAAACAAACAAACCCCCCCAATACCCAGAAAGAAAAAAATCGGGAAAGCTTGGTAAAAGCCCAAAACTGATCGAAAGATGAGGAAGAAATCGGAAGACAGCAATGGCGCTGAAGGTATGAACACAACACAGAGCAACTTGGACTTGAATTGTACGCCAGCAAAAAGGGAAGAACTTTCTTTCAAAAAAAGTCAAGAAATTGGACAAGTAAACGCGAAATGGGTATTGGTTGGGAGGGTTTTGTTTAATCCTCGATTTTTTATAATCGATTAAACAAACCATTCGAATAAAAACCAAAAAGGGAATTTGGGGTTTTGCAGTTTTACGGATTCATTTCATCGAAGAAACCAATCCCGAAAAATTTCAATGTGGATTAGGTTTACTCTCTTTTTTCCTCACATTGAAATTAACTATGAGGGTTAATTGCACGGTTGGTCACTGAAATTACAAAAACCGTTCAAGTTTGGTCACTCAAAATATTTAAATCCATTGGTGGTCCTTCAGTTTACTCAAACCGTTCATGTTTGGTCACTCTCCGTCCAACTCCGTTAACTTTGGCTGATGTGGCAGTCAACTCTCAAAGTTGACCGTTAACTTAGTGACGTGGCAACTAAAAAATTATTAAAAAGTAAAAAATTAAAATTTTATATTTTCCACCTCATTATTACATTCATTAAAAAATAAAAATAAAAAAAAATCAAATATTCCCAATCCTTCCTTTGAGTCACCAGACATGGCTGGTTGCCTCGCTTCTTTTCTTGACCCAATCAACAGTACACGATTAATACGAACGAACTCCAAAGTAGTAGAAGAAGAATACGAGTATCTTTCCCCGAACTTCCCCAAATCCCTAATCCTGATTCATTCCCCCAATTTACTACCTCTCCGCCTCTACTCTCTTCTACTCAGTCCTCACACGACAAGAAACTGAAAAAACCCAATCCCAATCCCCTTCTTTCTTCACCATTTCCAGATTATGATTTCTGACCCAAATCCTCCCCTTTCCGCCTGAATCTCTCGACCCATAAACCATGTCGATTAACCCAGAAACCCTCAGATCCCGGCCCAGATCCCGATGAAGAAGCCTCGCAGATCCTCCCCCACCGCAACTTCCTCAGGTTCTGCGGCTGCTCCGCCGCCATCATCCTCATGGCCGCCATGCTCTTCCTCATCCTCCTCTTCACCGCCTTCCGAATCAAGGTCCCACACGTCGCCGTCGCCAGGGTCACCAGCGCCGGGCCTCAGACCCTCAACCGCCTCCGCAACGGGACCGCCACGGTTCTCGCCGACGTCAAGGTGAGGAACCCGAATGCGGCGGCGTTCAGGTTCGGCGGCGGTGAGGCGACGATTTACTACGGGGAGACGGTGGTGGGGGAGGCGGCAACACCGCCGGGGAGGGCGAAGGCGAGGGGGACGGTCCATATGAGCGTGGCGGTGGAGATTTTGGGTAGAAGTTATCCGGTGTGTCGCGGCTCACGGAGGACGTTAAATCCGGGTCGTTGATGATGAGTTGCGTTACGTGGGTGAGGGGAACAACTGAACAAGAAAGGATTGGGAATATTTGATTTTTTATTTTTTTTATTTTTTAATGAATGTAATAATGAGGTGGAAAATATAAAAATTTAATTTTTTAATTTTTAATTGCCACGTCATTAAGTTAACGGTCAACTTTGAGAGTTGACTGCCACATCAGCCAAAGTTAACGGAGTTGGACGGAGAGTGACCAAACATGAACGGTTTGAGTAAACTGAAGGACCACCAATGGATTTAAATATTTTGAGTGACCAAACTTGAACGTTTTTTGTAATTTCAGTGACCAACCGTGCAATTAACCCTTAACTATGATAACCATTGGGTCATTTCTTGCAAATTCCTTCACTTCCCCAGGCATTGGAGGGGAGGTAGGGGTGGGCATTCGGTACGGAATCAAAATTATGCATATCAGGTCTTCGAATTCCATCAAATATCAAATCGAATTCGAACTGATTTATAATTCGGTTCATTCGGTCTAAACCGATATAATTTGGTTCGGTTTAGAATTTCACACAATATCGAATTTGTAAGGTTTCTTGTATCTTCATTTTAAATTATTTTTAACCCCTAATGTAAACAATAAATATGCAATTATACACATCATCAATGATAAAATCTAACATTTCAACACATACGTCATAAAACACAAACATGATTCAAAAATTTAAGTCCCAAAACAAGTACAAACATAAAAAATAAAACCATTTGGAGCTTGCATTTATAATAATTGGATTTTCAGTCAGAAATTCGGTTCGATTGAAAGAATCTTAGTTTCCGAAATATCCATATTTCCCTTCCGAATTCCGAACTGAATAGTATAATTTCGGTATCAGTTTATCAAATCGGTTGTCCACCCCTAGAGGCAGGGAGGGGAAGAAAGAATCTGCTTTGGGAGGAAAGCAGAAAGAAAGATATTGAGAGGGAAATTCTATAGAAAAGGGGTGAATTGCAAGTTTGGTCACCTATATTATATATTTGTAACATTTTAGTCACCCGAATCACTTTCATTTCGATTTGGCCACCAATAAAACATGTTTATGTCATTTTTGGTCACTCGCCGTTTAGTTCCATTAATTCTGTCATACGTGGCGATCAACAATGTTATGTTTGACTGTGTTAAAATAATGAAGTGTCAATTAAAAATAAATAAATAATCATTTTTTAATTCAATATCATACGAGAATTTAATAAATATTTATTTTCCATAAAAAATTTAAAATTTATTAAAATCCCGTCGACGGTTCTGATGCATCCCTGATCTCACCAAGCGCGCAGAGCCATCACTGCCGGCCGCAACAGAGCCGCCTTCTCCACGGGTCGACGTCTGCGATTCCATTCCCTAATCTGATTTGAACATCACCGCCCCGACCGCGCAGTTCGACTCCTTCTTCTTCTCTCTTTTCTGCCTCTCCTTCTCCTTCTCCTTCTCCTTCTCCGCCTTCTCTTCCTCTCCCCTCGCTACCCCTGCTGCTGGTCGCTGAGGGTGAAAATGTCGTCGTTGACAATGTCGGCCAAGAAATCATCCTCGTGGTTCGAGAACCCGAGCCCCTGGAACAGATCGTGGTGGTTTTAGGACTCGGTCGCAGCCGGAGTGGCGCCGCCGTGGGACTGCTCGATCTAATAGGGGTCGGAGCTGCTGTCCGTCTTCGTCGTCTCCGTGACCATTGGCCATTGCAATTGTTGTGGTGGCCGCGGAAATCCAATGGCGACGTCGCAGCGGAAGCCGCATATATATCTAGGCTGCGGGAGCATAGCCGCCATAGCGGAGAGAGATCAGATCAGGGGAATGGAATCGCAGACGCCAGCTTTTTTTTAGGCCGGCAGTGATGTCTCTGCGCGCTTGGCGAGATCGGCGATGCATCGGAACCGCGGCGGGGTTTTAATAAATTGTATATTATTTTTTATGAAAAATAAATATTTATTAATATTTTGTATGACATGGAATTAAAAATAAAATTTTATTTATTTTTTAATTAACACGTCATCATTTTAACAGTCAAACATAACTGTTGACCGCCACATAGGAAATAATTAGTGGAACAAGACGGCGAGGGATCAAAGATTACATAAACGTGTATATCAATTGCCAAATTGAAAGAAAAGTGAATCGGGTGGCTAAAGTGTTACAAATAGGTAATATGGGTGACCAAACTTTGCAATTCACCATCCACAAAAGAGAAAAGGGTTGAAAGAATTATATTAGTAGACTTATTATTTTTTCCCCCGCTTTTTTTGGTGTGCAATATTTGGCAGTTGAGTTGACTAGTGTTGAACATGTTTTTAGTAAAGTACAATCAAAGACTAGTAGAAGAACCACAGCCTTTCAAATTTCAACCTAATCTAATGAGTTGTTTTTTCTTCTTCTTTTTCCCCCGATAATTATCGACTTTTATTAAGCAATGCCTGATAAAACAGGGCCCGCAAAAAACTCAAGAGCAAAGCTTTACAGTTTTGAGTACAAAACCATCAGAACAACTACCAAGTTACTAACTTGAATACAACAGACTACATAAATGAGGATTTTTCCTAACTTCTGCCTGAAACACAAGATTACCCAAAGCGAAAAAATTGAAGTCTCTATCAATTGGCGCACCACTGCTCTGGTTTCCCGCTGACTTCCCTGGAAAATTCAAGTGCGTTCCTGATAGAAACACGTTTCCTTTGGAAACGAGTGTCTATCCTTATTAGTATTATTATCATTATTATGGAATCTTATTAATATGGTTAGTAGTATTTTAGTAGGACGAGTTCTATCATCTTTTCAATAAGATGCATAGGAGGATTGAAGCCTTCAATGCAAGACACGAGGCTTATCAACAACGATTGAAGGGAAAAATTCAAGCTATATGGGATAGCTTGCAAGTCAACATTGTCAAGTCACCAACCATGTCCGTCGACGCCAAGGTGAGAAGGCCGGAGAGGAAATCGACGCCGGGCCGCATCACGAATTGGTGATTTCGGAAGAAATCGAGGACTGACGAGTCGACCTTCACCACCACCTCGCCCGCATTATTGGACGTCGTGGCGAAGCCGCCAGAAAGAGCAAAGACGGAGACGATGAGAGGTGAGCCTGGGGAGGCGGATCCAAGGGCGATTGTGGCCGGGTCGAGTTTGTCTCTCCCTCACCTGAGGAACCATCGTCACCGGAGAATGAGACCAAGAAGAAGATGTCGCTGAGCCTGGATATGAAGACAGGGAAAGAACCAGTTGCGGAGACTCCGTGCATGCGATTGGCAAGTCCTGGCATTAACCAAGGATGCAGGATGGAGGCGACTAGTTGGGTTGTGCTGCCGAATACGCGAGCAATACAAAAGGAGCTATGAGCGTCGGTGGCAACCTGGGAGACGATGCGGGTGGCCTCACCTAGGTCATGACTCGTGCAAAGGGAGCCAAAATCGACGACCCCATTGGTGTCGATGTCGGGCAGGAATAGGGATCTGAGTTGCAGAACTTCTCCGCCAACACTGCGAGTCGCGAAGGAGACATGGCGAGTGATGGCGACTCCCGGGCGAGCGATGACGGACAGGCGGACAACGCAGCTGCACGGCAAAATGGAACCCGAACTAGTTGGTCACCTGGGGCCGGCAGAAAAAAAGAGGAAGAAGATGACGGCGTCTTCGACCGAGGAGGAGGCGTCGGTAGCAGGTTAGACGTCCCGTCGGCAGAATTGCTCGCCGCCATGGAAATAGAAGAAGGAGATGAATGAGGACGGCGG